GGTCCCTAAAAGTAGTGCAGCCCATAGGCCGGTTCTTATAATTGGGTATTCTGGCACAAGTCACGGGTCTTCAGAGTGAGCAAATCCATTAATATCTTAGCAATTCTCAAGAACAATTTACCTTTGGTACTCATGTTGCAACCTTTAACAATAATAACTCGCTTAAGCCTGATGACAAAAGCTTGTGTCCTGAAAACAACGTTTTAAAGATTCAAAGTTCGGCCACGACACGTGATCACGAAGACGAAAACACACCACCACGTGACAAAATTTTCCCGCATAAATTAGGTCTAAAGTGTAGTGTTTTGCTGTTTACGAGGCGGACATTTTTAGTTACCCACAAAATCCGCTTTTGAAATCATCTCTTAATAATAATAATAATAATAATAATAATAATAATAATAATAATAATAATAATAATATAGTTCTGGTATATGTTTAAGCACTAGGACAGGCCTTTTAGTTCTCAACTATTTTTTTTTCTTTCTTCTTACAATAATTGTAGTCCTAGTTATAACAAAGTCACCCTGTTGGAGCCCCTAACCAATGGGCATCTCTAAAGTCCCTGGCGGTATGGTCAATCAGCTGTGTGGTGAAACAACAATGGTAATAATGAAGGATCTTAAATAGCAATTGGTAAGGTTTTCTTAGATCCGAAACAATTATTCAAGCATGACAAATCTGAGCAAATGCTTACAGTTTTTAATTTTTTATTCGCTGCCACGTGCGTAATGCTTCAAGGTCGCGGTCCATACTAACATCATCTACGTAAAAAGGCAACGTGTTTATGTATAGCATTAGATCTGGCTAGATTATATTTTAATGTTCTTTATAAATTAACAGAAATTTCGTCGTGCTTTATTGATAAAACTGCAGACTCCTGTGGTCCATATTTCAAGCCCACTTTTAATTGTGTTAAGTATTTCAGTAACCTCGACCAATATAACAACAATCTACACAGACTCTAGTCTAGACCAACAAGTAGGTCACTTTTTTTTTCTTCTATCTGACAGCAGCAGATATAAAAAAAAAAAAGCAGAGACCTACTTGTTGGTCTACACAGACTCCTGTATAGGGACCAACCATCCAGGAGGTGTGGTTAGTGACTGCAAACGAATCTGCAGTTTTATCAATGAAGCACAACGAAATTTCTGACAACATGAAATCACCTTAACGGTATTATAAAATACTTTATAATACCTTTTAGTTGATTTCATGTTGTCAGAAATTTCATCGTGCTTTACTGATAAAACTGGAGACTCCTGTGGTTATTTTATAATACCATAAAAGTGATTTCATGTTGTCAGAAATTTTGTCATGCTTTATTGATAAAACTGCAGACCCTGTGGTGACTGGTATGGGTCAGGGCTTATATTGTAACACTAGAGTTGGTGTGGGGGATTCGGTTGAAAATATATTACTAGAAACATTGACCCTTAGCTCAACAAACAAAATGCACTTGTTTAAGCCATAGTGAATTGAACGTGTTTCAATAATGATAAAAATGCAAAATAAATTTGGATATGTTATTTTGATACAAATTTACATTTTTCCAGTTTATGCAAAAATTCATGTATCAAGATCACTAAGTCGTACTTGATTGGACAAATAAACGGTGAACTTGGCTAGAGTAGGAGTATTTTGATAAGTCTGGATATGTGATAACAGAAAAAAACATCATAGAAAGTATTTTTAAAAAAATAACATACATTAAAAATCATAATCACATCACATTTAATTTCATTTTTGTTAGTTCCAAATGCAAATTATGCAAGAGTGGGATAAAGAGTGAGGTTTGTAACAAGCTGGGAAATCTCTAGTGATGTCTGTTGCAAGGTTGAGGTTTGGTTTTTTGGTAGTTGTTGCTTTTGTACATTAATTTTTTGTTTCATTTATCCAGCGTTTTGTCCCTTAGTCTTTGGTGCAGCAACAGTTGTCTGTCTTTTGAAGTGGTGGTGTTTGTGTATGTGTATGTATGGCATCTGAAGCATTTGAACTTTTGCTGTTGCTATCTCATTTTTATCCAATCTTTTTTGTTGACTGAAATTGTTTATGACTGTCAGGAAGCTTTAATTCTCCAGTGCAAGCTAAAGCATTCCTCAAATCATTTTATTGTCAAGTTACAGACTCAGGTATCAGTTGTAAAAATTTAGTGAACTATTTTGTCTTCCAGAACATGGTTTGTAAAATCACTCACATTAATTATTATTCTTCCATTTGTAGTCTTGTCTGGTGAATTCTAGATGGGTTATTAACTTTTAGATTGATCTTTGTTTTTAATCTTTTCCGACAGTAATTCAGAAATTTCCTGAAAATCCAGCCAGTGTTTTTCAAAATTGTTAAATTTATCATGAAAGTGCCTACTGTCATCAGAGTCAGTTATTCTCCAAGAATTTCTGTTTTCTGTATTCTCCAAGAATTTCTGTTTATCATTGTCTGTTAACATATGCCTAGTGTTTTTTTTTTATAAATTGCATATGCACAGAATATGTTGCTTCAGGCAGTACTGCTGTAATCTTTTCATCATCATTGCCAGTTTTAAGGTAGTTAAGATTTGAATCAATAACTTTTACTTTTAGAAGATGAAAAAAAATGTCTTAGTTTCAAATTGCTCTTGTTGTGAATGAACATTGGTCCTAATATGATTGGTGATTCACACTGCAAACTGGTTTATAAAGTCAGCACCAAAGACATCTGCCCAGAGCAATACAGATTATTAATGTACGTTATCAGTTCATCTGTTCATCTGTGTATAAAACTACCAGCAGTCCTGGTAACTGATTATACAAAGTGTTATTTTCTGTTACCATATTTTTTATGAGTCTCATTTGAGTTTGTCTCTTTGATTTTTGTAATTATTTTTGTTTGTCATAAATTTGTTGAAGTTCTGTTGGTTGGGGTAGTTCACTATATTTTAAAGCTTATTATGTATTTGATGTGGTTTTTTTTTCCAGTCATTTGTCTAATGTCTTTTAAACATGTTAATGTGTCTGTAAATCTTATGTTTGTTACAAGTTTCATAAGACATTAAACCTGGAATTTCCTGACATGCTCATCTACACTGGAACCTGTCTTGAAAGACCACCCCATCTGCCAAAATATAATGGTCTGGTGTCAGGTGGTCTCTCATAAGAGGTCATAACACTAATCAATAAGTCTGTACATGGCAAAAATAGTCTATCAAGATAGGTGGTCTCTCAGGACTGTATTAACATATTTGCAAGCCTCCCTTCCCCAGCCATGTGACCCTCATGTTGTACATTTTGTCCTTTTTCAACTATCATATTTGTGGATCACAACAGCTTCTTTATAAAGGGTTATGAACTTGTTTATTTTTTAAATAAAAAAAATCATTCTCAGATCACTGTTGTCCATTACCAAATAGATTGATTTTGGGGATGCACTGGCCTATGTATCCCACACAAGCCACAGTTGTCAGAAAAAGATCTTTTTTCTTCATTTAATTTCTTTTCTGGGTTTTTTTCGTTATTGAAAATAATGAAAACATTTTCTTTTATACCAACTGGAATGCATTCTATGCTAGATTCAGATTTAAACAGTTTTTTTTTAACTTTCCTGTGTCCAGAAAATTGTCTAGATCTAATTTGCATTCTACTGAATGTTTATATGCTTCATTTCCATCTGTTGTTTGTCAGTTACATCATTCATATCAGTATATCTTTATCAGTGTGTTCTCTCCACTAATGGATCACTCTGTCATGTCAGAATTAACACAACTTGCATTTACTTAGACCTCATTTTATTTGTCACTTAAAGTTCTTGTGTCCCATTCCCAAATACACTCGTTCTCCACTCTTAAGTACACTCCTTCTGCTCCTCGACCCTTTAGTATCAGTATGTCTTCAATAATGAAAATTTCCATCATGTCAGAATTAACTGAAGTGCATTTACGGCTTTACCTATTTATTTTTTTTAGTTACGACATACGTCATTTGTATCAACATGTGTCTCTTCAATGGCAAATCTTTCTCTCATGTCAGAATCTTCAGAAATAGCACTTTCTGAGCTATCAGCTAAAGAGTTGCTTAAAAAAAGATGAAATAAACAGATTTTCACAATCTGTTCTGGTGATTACTTCCATTGCAGCTAATCTGTACCCACAAGTTGTATTGTACTTTTACCTTAATGTTATGGCATCCATTGATTAAATGTAATAATACAGTCATAATATCAAATGTGTTTGTATTTCTATTTTCTTGTGCATTGAACATATTTTCTATTAGTCTCTCTTTTATGCTTTCTCACCTCTGTCTGCGTGGGTTCCAGTCTAGGATTCATCGAATGTGGATATGTGAGAAAGCTTGCCAGTAGCTTCTTGTGGGTCAGTGGTTCTTTCCGGTAATTTCCCGGTTTCTAACTCCACCAGTAATACTGGCCGCCATGTGCTGAAAATTGGCGTTAAGCCCAACAACTTTTATGCTTTTCAACAGCACCCTTCTCTTCCCCTCTCCCTCTGGGATGATCATAGCACTGATGTGTCTATATTGTATTATTCTGAAGACATACCTATTAGCTCCTAAAGGTACACTGCAGGACTCAGATGATTTAAGAATGTTGAGTTATCATCAGACATATAAATTTCAGTTTTGGAAATTGTGGATATCGCACCTTTTTTATCGTTGCAGTTCAAGTCTGTAAGGAGCAATATTTGCAATTTTCCAACAATATGGACCATCAGATCTAAAATCGTGTAAAGTTTTGTAAATTCAACACTGTTGTGTTTATTGTTTGTCTTGCTTCATTTTATTTTGCCATGGCCTTTTTCAGACACTTTGAGAGTAAAAATCACATAGGTTAGTAAAAAATCAGTGTTGCAGTATTTTTTGCATTTTCTTAAATCCTTAAATCTCATGGTGGATTCAGTGCTTTTTCAAGGAATATATAAGTATGAATCTGTGTCTATTGATGTTTGTTTGGTTTTAACAGTACTTAAAACACAATAACTGAAATGGGAGCAAAGTCCATTTCTCAAGGACTCATGCAGCAAACCAGAACTGGCCTAGGTATATATCAAACCTGCAATCCTTGAAGTACAAGTCCAATGCTTTACCAACTGAGCTGTTGCAGCTCTCTGCTGGCTGTGGATCGTTTAAAATACACCACTCCCTCAATACCTCACGCCCGGATAACTCGCAAACCTACTTATAATGCGGTGTCCGGTATGGCTTCCGATTTTTTTTCCAAGAAAATATATTTTAAAATGTGTTGAACGTGAAAAAAGTCATGATCAGAAATGGTAAATTGGTAAATTAAACCTTGATTATATAGCTCGTTTTTATCATCGAAAATGGTGATTACTGCCCATAAAGATAGAATCCATATTGTGAAATTTGCACTTTCTAATAAGATATCACATTATGTTAAATTTTTTAAGTAGAAAAATAGTTGTCAATACACTGTAAATAAACAGCGCTCAACGAAAAATTCTGATAAATGCTAACATGTGGCAATAGAGAATGAAATAAATACCAATTAAATGTCTTTCTAGGTGAAATTCACATTATAATCCTTTAATTTCCTCTCAACACTATAATCGCAACATATTTTCTTATATGAAAACAAGAAAAGAATCAGTCGACCGTCACATCGAAACCCTTGAGTACTTCCATGAGAACATAATTACATGCTGGCATTGTTTCAATCAACAGCTCGGGAAGTGTTTGTTGCAATAAAAGAATCAATTAAAAAAAACTGGTGTTGTTTTATCACGTTAATATGTCTTTTGTATCTAATCAAACAAGTTAAGTACAATAAAATAAAGTTCAAAGGCATGGCAATGGGAGCAAACGTTCTTGTATTCATTACCATCATCAAATTTCATTTTACTTGACCAATCAAAAATATTTTCACCTTTTATGTATTAACATCATTAAAGTATATATCAGTAAGGTATCATAATCATTTGTAAACGTGACAATGGAGAGTAAAGAAATTAAGCGAAAGGTTTACTTAGTGACTGAAAAGCTGTTCATCATATATGGTGTTCATAATGATGAAGCGAGATCAAAAATTTGCAATAAACTAATAATTGCTGAGTCGACATTTAGAGATTGGCTTAAGGATGAGCCGAAACTTTGAAATTACTCACATGATGTTGATTCAGATGATGGGATGAAACGAAAATGAGCAGGGACTGCAAGTAATAATGAATTAGATGATGTTGTGTACGCATGGTTCACACAACGTGTCACAAACCACAAGTGTTATCGTGTTCAAATTTAGGTCATTTAAAATTTTTACACCCAATAATTTAGACCCATTGGTAATGGTTAACCCTTGTGAATTTTTTTTTTTTTTTTGTCTTCCATTTTACGTCTTCCGCAATAAATATCTACACACCGTTCGATCAGCATTGTTTTTTTAAAATGTGTCGATCTTTTGTATGTAAAAAAACCCCATCTACTTTGGATCAAATTATAAAACTAGAATGTATACCATTCACAGCAAAAATTAGTGACGTAGTGCACAACGTGAAGTCGTACATGTGCTAAGCGAATGGAAACCACGTGGAATAATGTTTTGATTATCAATATACTGAAATTAATGTTACTCTTTGATGAAAAAATTAAACAAAGTACACCGATGTGAAGAGATATTTATTCACTGTTAATCTTAGCATGATTATTATTTGAGTATTTAACACTGTAACAAGCCAAGCCACCCCCACCCACCCCTTTTGCCAATACGTCGATTCCTTTATTAGTTTTGTTGTTTGTTGTATGTCTCTCGATAACTCGCACCCTCGCTTATATCACGGTCTATGTTTTTGGACCCCCGATGTCCGCAAGTTATCGAGGGAGTGGTGTATCAGTCATATTGATATACATATGTAAATTATATGGCTGTAGGCCAAGGCAATATAAAAAATAAAATTTCGGAGCGATCATTTCTAAAACTGCTAATTTTTTTTATTGTGAAATTGTTTTTTTTTTTTATTACATAGGCTTCTGTATTGGGTTTCTTTCCTATTCATAACTACTGCAGTTATTTTGATGTATCTATTTTGTGCAGATAAACATTAGTTATATAAGACTAATAGACTCCTAACAGCTACATTGTATGAGTTACAAAAGATTAATAAATTTTATTTAAATGTAAGTTTTTTGTCATGAAATAGTTGCAGAGATTTCCATTGTGATATTTAAAGGTTATGAAATGTTGTACGCTAGTTTCAAAACCGCCTATTATATTCAACATGATTATTAATGCAGTGGCAATTGGAGAGAAGTTTCATTGCATTGTTAAGGCAGTGAAGTAACAGCTGCATAACAGAAAATTTGTTCTGCATGAAGGGCATACCTTTTGTACCTCAAACTATGTATAAAAAATATATGTATGTATACTTTGTCTTCTGACAGCTTCATTTCTGGTTAAATGACTTTTCCAGTCCCATTTTCTTTTCAGTTGATGAGTATTTCCATAAGTGCATATAGTAAAATCATAACAAAAAGGATTTGCAACACAAACTGAACCATGACAGATGATGCTGGATTACGAGAGGCATGTGGAATTTTTGGTTGTGTTGCTGTGGGTAACTGGCCAACAGAGCTTGATGTTGCACACACAATATGTATGGGACTTGTGGGGCTTCAGCACAGGTTTTTTTATTTTCTCAGTTCTTTTTAAGCCAAATGGAAAAATATGCATGGTTCTAGTTACATTGGAAAATATGTATAGATAGCTTGGTATAAAGATTGTATTTTGTTGGGTTTTTTTTATATACCAGATGATGTATAAACTAGAAAATAAGCATTATTCTCATCCAGATCATAGTTACATCCCTTTGTTATTTTTACTTTTCCTTCCATCAGCAGGGCAAAATGGGGTTGGTCAGGTAACCAGAACCATTCATACTTTTTTATTCGGCCTTATGCCCAGGCATGAAGTCAATTGGTCCTATATAGATCCGAGTTATTCTACCCTATGTTGTTTAGTTTGTTAAATTTAACATACATATTTTCTTATAAAACTCTTGTATCACTGGATGAATAACACTTTTACATCAGGTCTTTTATCATTATTATATTTTTTAACAATATGTTTAGTGGACAATAGTCACTTTATACTGAAAAAATTATAACCTACAGTACAGATCCAGCATAAAAAATGTAATTGCCCTTGGCGATATTAGCAAGTGTAAGTTGCAGTATAACATGAATGAATATAAGTTAACTATGTCACCGATTCATCTGTCCATCACACCTTGGTTAAATTTTACGGTTAGGTCAAGGTTTTCATAGATCATGGCCATGTCTGATGCTTAAATAACATAGAATACATAGATACATTACATTGTAGTACATCGTTGTTGTGGGGCTTAACGCCATTTTTCAGCACACGATAGGCTATACATTGTGGCCAGTATTATTGGTGGAGGAAAAAACCGGGAAATCCGAGGAAAGAACCACAGACCCACGAGAAGCTACTGGCAAGCTTTCTCATATATCCACATTTGCCGACAGAGGTGAGATGGCAGTGATCCATAACAAACAGCTCTTTAGAACACTCAGCCACTCGGCCCCCCCCCCCATTGCAGTACATAATCTGATACTTAATAATATAGAGTACAATACAGTCATGCCCAAATAATTATATATGCAGCCCATGGGTAGAATTTTAGACATTAGAAAATAAAGAAAATCACTAAGTAGATTAAATGGGAGTAGTAAAAGGAATTATGGGGGACAAGTCACTTTTCCCAGGTATTTGGCCTTGGGAGGGCGGTGAAGGTAGGTCGGGAGTGATGCAAATGAATACAGCCCCGATTATGGTAATTTATGCTTAGCATACTTGACTGATTCCAACAGTATCATGGGGAGCTCTGGTAGTAACTGGTTGAGTATCTAAATTGTAATCAAATTTTTGTAATTTAAATACCCACCTAAACCAGTCTGTCTTAGCTGCCTTTGAGTGTCTTTTGGAAAGATCTCAGTATGATAGAGCTACCAGTCTGCATTAAAAATTGGCAGCTACTAGTATTAATTGGACTTTGCTCTTGCCCATATTGGAACCAGTAATTTAACTCCAGATTGTAGTGACCCACACTGGTGGCCTAGTGCTTAGAGCATCCTCCTCAGATGCGGTAGGTTGCAGGTTCTAACAGTGGCTGAGACATACCAAAGACTTTAAAAAAATAGTACTGACAGCTGCCACGCTTGGCACTCAGCATTAAGAGGTTAGTGTTAAGACTGGTTGGCCTGGTGTCAGGAAAATGTGACTGGGTGGACATCATGCCACATTTCTGTGGCATGATTCCCCAGTACTGGACATCACTATAAACTGCCACACTGCAGATATCGTACCAATATGACCAAAAGAGTTTTAAAGCCATGTTAAAATTCAAAATCACACACAAACACACATACTGCAGTAGTGATATGCAGGCAGATTACCAGAATTGATGCATATCAGGTGAATCACAGATGTGTTGCACACGGGGGTCAAATTTTATCACAGAATTCAGTTGAAACAACTTGATTTTGGAAGTTCAACACTTTAAACTTCTGAAAATAGAATGATTTATTGAAGAGAAAATGGCAAGTTTATTGTTTTCTTGTTTGCTGGAAGTAGAAAAGATTCTGGTTATGGGCACTACAGGATGAATATAACCAGCAAAGTCAGTCACGGTTTTCACTTGAACAGTTAATTTTTTGTAATATAACAAACTTTAACGCATAAGCAAACAAAAATAATAACTTTTATGTGACTAGATAGGTTACAGGTGCATTAAACCTTACTATATTTTCAACACCTGCCAAAACACTATTTTAACGCAGCATACCTTTATCATAATATACTAACTGTGTCAAGGAAATGGAAAATATTGCTTTGATATTGTTGTTTGAACATATAGGCAGTAATTAACCACATGTTCTAGCTAGGGAACTGCATATGAAAAATTAAATTTATGTACCAGACAAAGGTCCAAACAGTTTCGGACACTACATAATTCACAAAATAAATAAACTTATTTTAACATATTTTGCATAAATAATCTCTTTCATTCCTTTATTAAACAGAAATTGATAAAGATAATGATATCTTTGAGGATTGGTACATTTGTTATTA